TTATTAAAAAAATATAATTAACATATATTTAATTTATACCTTTAAAACATATAAGATAAACTTTCATTAATTTAAACCTTTATCCTTTTTCTCCTTGAACAGTAAACCCCACGTGATTACATCATCTCTTAAATGACAAATACTATATAATCAAAACCTAGACCAATAATAGTCATAGCAAGTGGAACCTTTTTTATTTTATTTTATTTTTTTGTCCATCAGAATTAATTTATTTATAATATGGTCAATTAATTAGCAGAAATAGGGAAATGACAGGGTGTTTTTGAAATTTATTAACATTTTTAATTGAAAAAATTATTATGGCTATGGATGGCCTTTAGAAAAAATAAATTTTTTTAAAAAAATTTACCAAACATGAAAAAAATCTATAAACACTATTCCTTGTTTGGGTGGGTAAATTGGGAGAAGAGGAAAAGAAACAATATCTTCTATTTCCCTTCGTTTCACTTTCCTCCCCTTACATTCCCTTATTCGATTATGTTAAAATTATAAAAGAATACAAAATAAAGCTCTTCTCTTCCCCTCTCTTAATTTTTTTTTTTTCATTTTTATTATCCAAAATAAGGAAATTTATCCTTCTCCCCTCATCCCCTTAAAGCAAACAAGCTGAGAATTATGAAAGTAATTGTAAGAACAATCTCAACAAAATACCTATGTACAGTTGGAGCCACGTAGAGTCCCTTATAATGTAGATGTAAAGTATGCACAGCTGATGATTCAAAATGGTTACATGCACATCGATCCATCCACCAAAGTCCAAAATAATTCAGAAATAATTGGCCACATTCATAAATCATGGTTAGTGCTTCGAACTATTGAATTTGAAAGTGTGAGATGAATAAAAGGATAAGGGGAATGTAAATTATGCAACTTGTAAGGTGTAGAACTTTTAATCTAGTCTTAGTGGAGGTGTAGGATTCTTAAATAGAATTTAGTTCTTTAGTGGTGGAGATATGTAGGACTCTTTATATGAGCATTAAGGCATCGGCGGAAAAATTCATAATTGAGAA